GGACAGAGAAGCATCCACGTGTAATGGAATGGAGTTGGAAGAATCAATATGAACTCATCTGTGGCCAAATTAATAGATCCAGTTGGTGGGGCTGGTGAGATGGCTCAGTGGTCTAAAGCACCTACTTAGAACAAGCTTAGCAAAGCACAGGGACCGCAGTTCAATCCCCCAGCACCACATGCCAGCCAGCCCCGCCCCCTGGTGGGCTGAGCTGCCCCCCCCCACACACATAAATAAATAAATAAAATTTTAAAAAGAAAAAAAAAATAGATCCTGTTGGTGACACACAACTATTTATAAATAGATATCTCTTCTATATACTACCTGACATATATCTCCTTGCTGTAGTAGCTGAGGAGCCTAGGAGCAAAAATTAGCACCTTCACTTTCGGTAGCACCAAGCAATGAGCGTAGTGCCAGATCTTGTTTCCAATCCCATTTTCCAGGAAGATGAACCAGGGCTCCTTGGAGGAATGGCTCTTTCTGAGACCTTGACAGGAAATGCACAAGATGAGCCTGAAACATCTGGTTGTGCCAGAAAGGAAGAAAGTGCTGAAACAGGTGCTTACACACAATGGTGGGGAAAGAGCGGCCAGTGGATAGCTATTGCATGTGTGTGCATTCCAGGGGATTCAGCTCAGGGCCTCATGTATAGTGGCCCATGCAAGTGCTCTTCTATTGAACTGCATCTCCAGCTCTTATTATTTATTTATTTAAAATCTTTTATTTATTTATTTGGTATAGGGTCTCACTATGCAGCTCACATGCAGTACTGGGGTCTGAACCTTGGTCCTTGTGCTACCAGGAAGATGCTTAGACTGCCAGCTATACAAGTTGGACTCATAATGATTCTCCTGTTTTCGGCCTCCTAGGCACTGGGATCACAGGCATGCACCACCATTCCCAGTCTGAATAGCCATCTCAGTGCACCCTGGGGACAGGGGCAGGGCCACCCCCATCCCTGCATCTGACTAAGCAGGAGCTTTAATCCACCAAGCTATCTGGCCGGCCCTAGTCTTGAACTTGTGATCTTCCTGCTTCAGTATCACCAGTAGCCAGGATTATAGGTAGGCACTACTGCACCAATTAATTAAATTTATTTATTTATTTGGTACTGGAAATTCAATTTAGGACCTTAAGCTTTCCAGGCAGGTGCTGTGCCACTGAGCTATATCCTCTGCCCTATTTTATTTTATTTCATTTTTGATTAATATGTGTTTATTGTACATACTAATGTGAGTCAGTGTGCTACTTCAGTGAATGGATACAGTATTCACTGATCAAATCAGGTAACATTTCTCTCACTGTCATTTTGTAGCAGCTGTCTAGGCCTTTCAAACTCCCCTCTTCAGATCTTCATAGATTACATAATACCTTATTGTGAACTATAGTGCCCCCTCCCTGCTGTGGAATGTCAGAACTTACTTCTTTGTCACTGCATTTTGGTACCCATGATCCCACGTCCTTTAATCTGCTCTCTACTGTGGGATATCTATATTTGTTTTGTTTTGAAACAGGATCTCACTGTAGATTTTAGGCAGGCCGCAAATTCACAGTGATTCTCTTGTCTCAGCCTCCTGAGTGATGGGATTACAGGTATATGCCACCATGCCCAGCTAGGGATATCTATATTTATATCTTCTGTCTGTCCATGTATCCTCTGTGTATGGGTATTCTAGCGATTGTTTCTCTGGAGAACTCTAATACATGGAGAATGCTGAGTATAGAGCATATAGGAAACTATACATATTATTATTTATTTATGTTTTTGTATTTTAGGGCAGGGTCTACAGGGTGTTCAGGGTCTCACTACTAGATCGGACTCGTAGTGATCCACCTGTCTGCAGCCTCCCAAGAGCTGGGATTACAGATGTGCACCACCACACCCAGTCTCAAGTGCTGTCTCAGCATGCCCTGGGGGGCGGGCCTGGCAATATTATCTTTTATTCTGTGTTTGGTACAGGGTCTCACTACGCAGCTCTGACTTATAGTGATCCTCCTGTTTTCAGTCTCCCCAGCGCTGGGATTACAGGTGTTTTCCCAGACTAGGTAGCTGCTCAGTGCAGTCAAGGGTGGGGCCGACGAGGCATGTGGTGCCTGTGATCTATATGTACTAGCTTCATGATAAATCTGTAAGTCTAAATCTATTTTAAGGGCCAGCCAGATAGCTCAGCTGACTAAAGCGCTTGCTTAGGAAGAACACAGTAGCCGGGTTTGATCCCTGGTGTGCCGTGCTAACCCGGTGAGGCGGGCTGAGACAGCGACTGAGACAGGGTGAGTCCGATCTACGTAATGAGACCCCGTCAACTGTGTACTAAATACATTTTAAAAATAATAAAAAATAAAATAAATCTATTCTAAAGTAAACGAGGTAGTATTCAGCCTGGTGATGATTATCCGGGTACATATACTGGGATCTTTGGGGTGGGGGAATGTATGAGATTTGGAGGGGATGTGGATGTTTTTGGCCCAGCAGACATTCTTTTTTTTTTTTTTTTTTTTGGTGAATTTAGGACAGGGTGTATAGGGTCTTACCATATAGACTGGACTCATAGTGATCCTCCTGTTTCAGCCTCCCAAGCGCTGGGATTACAGGCGTGCATCACCACGCCGTCTCAGTGCACCCCTGGGACGGACTGCATGCCTGGGGAGCAAACCCTGGCATAAGCACTTTAGTCTGTTAGTCTGCTGAGTTATCTGGCTGGCCTTTTTTTTTTTTTTTTTTTTTTTTTGAGGCAGGATCTTGCTGTGTAGTTCAGGTTGGCTTTGAACTCAGTATGTGGTCCAGGCTTGTTTCAAACTCACATCGATCCTACCTCAGCCTCCTGAGTGCTGGAATTAGGGGTGTGCTGCACCATGCCTGGGCCCAGCAGATGTTCTATATCTTCCCAAGCCCACTCCACAGCCACAACACTGGAGGCTGCTGGCCACAACACTAGGGAGGGATGAGAGGCTGGAGGGTTCCGGTTCCCCCTGCCTTGTGCCTATCATTTCCAATGCCTAGAGCCTGCAGTGATATTTTCTGAGACAGCAATACCATCTGTGCCAGCTGTGAGGCTCCCTGAGAAGCCACTGGGTTGGGGCACCTTATCACTATCCCCAGGCTGCCAGCTTGGCAGGAGAGATCACCTAATTGAGGATTAAGGATTAATTGGGATCTGCCAGGCTAGTGGTACTGGGGCCCCTGCAGCCAGGACTGGCACCTCCACATCCAGCTGCAGGCTGGGCAGGACGCTGGTGGCTGGCTGGCTGCCTGCTCTATCCCACTTTGTGAACACCAGGGCTCTGCGCAAGAGCTCCCGATTCTTCTTGACTGGGAAGGTCAGGGCTGATCCTTCCTCCCAGCAGGAAGGAGCTTCAAACTAGTTCTTTCTGTAGCTGCAAGAGGCTGAGAACTGTCCTGGGTTCACCCTGTCCCTGAGGCACCCTCCTTGGTTGACGCTGTAGCTTTAGAGCCCCTGAGTGGGATCTTGTGCAAGTCCCATCTTCATGGTGTGTGACTTTATGCCAGTCTCTCATCCTCCCAGAGCTTCTGGTCCTAGCAGACACCCTTGATTAACTCAGGGCAGTGGGAATTCACAGCCAGATCATAAATAGGATGAGACAAAGTGTTAGCATTATTTATTTATTTAATTTAAGGTTTTTTTTAGACAGGGTTTTGCTGTACAGTTCAGGCTGACCTCAGAGCCTAGGATCTAGAAAGAACTCATGGATTCCCACCGGCCTCACACTTGCTATGTAGTGGAAGCCAGTGTGGTGATCCCCCTACCTCAGCCTCCCTGGTGCTGGGAGAACAGGTTGTACCACCACACCTGCCTAAGTAGCATTTTAGAAAGAACATCGCAGTAGCCTGTGGAGAGAAGGCAATGGGACAACTTGATCTCTGCTAAGTCAGTTAGATATGGTACTCTGGTTTATATGCTTATATCCGCTCCAAAATTCCTGTTGAAGCTAAGTTTCAAAGGTAACAGAGGTTGGACTTTTAAGAGGTGATTAGGCCATGAGGGTTCTTTGGATTAAGCCTCATGAAATGTCTGGAGGGGACAAGGTAGGCGTGTTTGTCCTTTTAGTCTTCCTGCCAGGTGAGAACATAGGGCTGGTACCATCTTGTAAGCAGAGACTAGGACCTCACCAGAGGCTGCCTAGGCCTTGAGCTCTGGCTTCCTGGCCTCCAAAATAGTAGTTTCATGCTGTTTGTAGTTGACCCAGTCTAAGTTGTTTTGTTATAGCAACAGGGGTGGATTAAGACGCGGTACTTCTCGGTTTCCTCTGAAGCCTGGGGCAGGCTCTGAGGAAGTGAATGTATATGTGGATCTCCCAGGAGGCAGAGCAGAAAGGAAGGCAGAACAGCAGAAGAACCTCTGATTTCCTGCAGGGACCAATCCCAGCTTGGCTGACCTAAAGGATTGCTCAGGGCAAAGACTGCTCAGTAGAGGAGTTTCGGGATTAGGCAGAAACAGTCAGGTCCTGGTTCCCCAGTTGTGTTTGGTCAGTGGCTGGGGTCTTCCAAACCAAGGAGTGGGAACCCTGAAGCTGAGGTATCCCCAGCCCAGACTTTCCCCAGCTCACTTGGGCTGAGTTCTGGAAGGGACCTCTGAACTGTTCCTCTCCAGGCTGCTGCCGCAGTAATGTGACAGGCTGGGAAAAGCCTCCCGCCCTGCCTGGGCACTTCCTTCACCCTCTAATGCAATCTTTGAGGGGCAGGGGCAATTGTTAGGGTTGGGAGTGGGGACACGAAGGGGAAAATACATCTGGGCTCCAGAAGCAGGTTGGATTTACCCATCCTGGTGTGTCTCCTAACAGTGGCTCTGGGCTGAGCCTAGGATCTAGAGAGAACTCACGGCTCACAGGCCAGCTTATGGCTTATGGTCTGAGACATCAGACCCAGGGCTTGGTTCTTTTGGCCTCCAAGATATGTAAAATGAAAGGCAAAGCCATCTTCCCAGGTCTGCTGATGCTTTATTGTCAGAGAAACAGGAATGGGGTGAGGGGTGGAGGCAGGCAGGGATGGAGGATCCCAGCTGTATAGGATGGGATTCGGGGAACACACTCAGTTTGAAGAGGCTGTGGTCCCCGTCCAGTTGGCTGCCTCCAGCTTCTCTACAGGCTCAGCGAGACATCATTCGCACAAATTCTGCCAGGACAAAGCCAAAGTTTTGGGTCTATCTGCCGACCTTGCAGTGGGCAGGTGTGGTTCTGGGGAAGGCCTTCGGGGACATCCCCTGGAGAAGGCAGGGAGTAGGCTTCAGGATCAGGCAATTTTGTCTTAAGGACAGAAAAAGTTTTATAACTGAACCTTTCTTCCTCTTTGGTTTGCCCACTAGGAAACTCAGAAGTCAATGTTCTCTCTCTCTCTCTCTCTCTCTCTCTCTCTCTCTCTCTCTCTCTCTCTCTCTTTCTTCTTCCTGAGATACGGTCTTACGGTCTTGCTTTGTAGTACAAGCCGGCCTTGAACTCACTATGTAGCCCAGGCTGGCCTTGAACTTGCATTGATCCTCCTGCCTCAGCCTCCTGAGTGCTAGGATTACAAGTATGCACCACTGGGGCTGGTGAGATGGCTCAGTGGTCTAAAACACCTACATAGAACAAGCTTAGCAAAGCAAAGGGACCACGGTTCAATCCCCCAGCACCACATGCCAGCCAGCCCCGCCCCCTGGTGGGCTGAGCTGGCCACATACACACACACACACACACACACACACACACATAAAATTTAAAATAAAAAAAAAAACAAAAACAAACAAACAAGTATGCACCACTATGCCTGGGTGGGGAATGTTTCTACATAGTTATTTTCTTTGGCTTCCTATTACTTAATCTACGTGTGTATATGTGTGTTTTTAATACTGGGAGTTTAGTCCAGGGCCCTTTCATTGAGCTACAATCCCATTCCTTATTTCTGAGTTTAAGACAGGGTCTTGCTAAATTGCCCCACGCTGGGCTCAAGCTTTTGATCCTCTTGCCTCAGCCTCCTAGAGTGCAGGTATCTACCACCACCCCTGGCTTTTGTTTTTACTTGTGGAGAAAGAACTGAATTCCAGGTGTGCTGCCCCAAATTCCAATCCAGGTTCCATGCATTTTCTTTTGCTAAGCACCTAAGCTTGCCTGACACCCAACTTTCTTCTCTTGCATATGGTGACAGCAGAGGTCCCTTCTGGGGTTCACAGTAGTGACTACTAGGAGAGGACATGGGCATGCTTGGCACAGGATCTGGCACACAGAGATAACCCTCCTTGTGTCCTTTATCTGGTAACAACCCTCCAGGGTGTATTGCTAAATGCAGCAGGTGGTACCTTCAAAGTCGACCAGGCCATCTCCATTGAGGTCGATATCCTGCAGAATCTCATCCACCTCCCGCTGGCTGAGGCGCTCCCCCAGCAGGGCCTTGAGGGCAGCCCGAAGCTCCCCCACACTGATGCAGCCATCCCTGTTGGTGTCAAACTGTAGTGGTGTTGGATGTGGCTTGGGGTCACTGACTGAGTCAGGTATCTGCTCAGACCCTTACCACCTGGGGAGCTGCAGCCCACCCCCCCAGCCTGGGCCCTGCGCACCTCCCGAAAGGCGTCCCGAAGCTCCCTGACTCCGATCATGTCTGCCGTTTCAGCCAGCAGCTTGGGGCCCATCAGCTCCACGAAGTCTTCAAAGTCTACCTTCCCGCCACCTGGGGTCACATCCATTCACTAGAGACCCCAGCCTAGCACTTTGCCCTCTCTCTTCTGCCCACAGCTCCCCACTTCTGCCCCTTCCCTCCCCACTTCCCTCATTAATACCTGGGCCCTTCACCCCCCTCTTCCTGATGGGAATCACCCTCCAAACAAGGCATGGATGAAAAGAAAGCCACTCTTAAAGCTTTCTGGTGCTTTCCTTGATTTTCCTGAAGCGTTTGCAGGATCAAGTCTTGGGTCCAATGCTGTGTGACCTTAGACAAATGACCTCACTGCAGAAACTCACTTTCCTCATCTGTGAAGTGGGCAACATGGCCCTCACACAAGGTGGTGAGATTTTAGAGTGGCCTAGGCTCTGGGCCCTAGGGTATGGGGACAAGCTCTGCAGTCACCTCTGGGCCCCAGCCGCCAGCTTTTCTGGCCCTAGCAGAACTAGGATGGGGCAGTTCTGAGACACGTACTGATTTGCTGTGAGATCTCAATGAGCTCCATCTCCGTAGGCATGTAGCCCAGGGTCCGCATGCAGGCACCCAGCTCCCGATAGCCGATGTAGCCATCCCGGTCTCGGTCAAACTCCTGGAAGGCGACCTGCAGCTCTACCAGGCAGGGTGGGATCAGTCCTCTCCCATCCCCTAGACCCCTGCCTGCACCAGCCCATCCTCCTCCCTCTGGTCTAGTCACCCAGTAATCCCCTTCTAAACATCAGTTCCTATTTTAAGGCTTCAGGGCATTTGCACAGGCTGGTGTGTGTGTGTGTGTGTGTGTGTGTGTGTGTGTGTGTGTGTGTGTGAGAGAGAGAGAGAGAGAGAGAGAGAGAGAGAGAGAGAGAGAGACATATGTTAGGCAAAGGCTTTACCACTAAACTACACCTAGCCATATGTTAGGCAAAGGCTTTACCACTAAACTACACCTAGCCTTTCCATGCTGTTTTTAAGTTTTTTCTTTCAACAGACATTTAAGGAGGATTTGCTATGAGCTAGACTGTGCTCTGAGGACATGACAGTGAATGAAAAAAAGGAAGAAGGAAGGAAAGGAGAGAGGGAGGAGGGAGGGAGGAAGGAAGGGAAGAAGGAAGGAAGACAAATCCTTGACCTCATGGAGGCCACACTCTGGAACACTCTCCCCTCCTCTTTGGCTCTATGTCACCTACTCAAGGAAGCCTTCCCTGAACATTTGTTCTCTGCCGGCTTGTTCGCTCTTTTCCTTGTGAGGCCTTGGTACTGTTTGTACTTGCAGCCCATGTGTTGCTGACTGTCCCAGAGAGCTCAGGCCAGATTGGCCCAGTTTGCCGCACTTTCCTGTGCTCAGTGTAGGGCCAGGCCCAGAGCAGACACACACAAACTGCAGCTGGATGGATGCTTATGAAAGAGGCCCTTGCCCCTCCTGGCAGAGGAGACCAAGGAGCTGATGGCTGCAGATAGAAGGTCTGCTGCCCCTCCCTGCGCTGTCCCATCCCCTCTGCCTATCCTCTACAACATTCTTCTTGCTCTATTTCCTCCTACAGATCACTGCAGCCCCTTCCCCATGCTCCATCCTGTGGCTTCCATCCTAAGCCCCAGGCACTCCTCAAACTCTTTACCTTCAATCTCCTCAGGTCGCAGGTCCCGATCCTAGGGGACAGAGAAGGGTTAGGAGTTCCCTGGACCACCCAGGCCCCACCGCACCATTCACACTGGGCCTAGGTCTACCTGCTCACTGGCCAGGGCCTCTTGGGTGCCCCCTTCCATGCCACCAGCCTAGGCTGCCCTCAGGGCCTCCATGCCCCCTGCTCCCCTCTTTTGGGTAACTCTTTGCCCAAAGTGGGTAGGTGTGGGGGTCTGGCAGAACCTCAGATGTGGCCTGCAAGTACTGTAAGTCTCAGTGTTCTCTCTCTGACCCTTGAGTGATCACACTGTCTCGTTTGCCCCTACCATTGGATTGGTGTGCCCCTGCTCTTTGGGTCCCCTCCATCCTCTCCCTTCTGTTCAAGGAGTGGCAAAGTGAAGGGTTAAGGCTGTGGGCTAGGGGGTGAGTGGCTGTACATACGAGCTGGGTGGCGGCGATGCTGGGCCGAAGGAAGATGCAGGCTGGCCCCACCAGGCTACCAAGCACCGAGTAGCCCTGGGCGCCCCCCTCCTCCTTGGGACGGGGACCAGCACTGCTGCAGGAGCCCCCTCCAGGGGAACCGGGCCACTGCCAGGGGTCCTGTGGCAGAGCCAGCTATGAGCTGGGTAATGGCCTGAAGCCCCTCCTTGCCCCTCCCCAGCCAGCCATCTGCTCTCTGGAACACAGGACAGGGCTGTGAGGAAGGGGCTTGAGGTACACAGGACCCTCACCTGTCAATAATGTATACTGGAAGGGTTTATCCCCTAACTACTCAGTTGGGCAGACAGGCACAGAAAAGATGAGAGACTTGGTCACAGTGACTGAGGAATCCAGTGGTTGGGTAAGACCTGGCTTTCAGTGCTATCCAGTCAAGGCTGGCTAGCAAAGAACCAGGCCTGGAGGGATGGACAGTGGGGACCTGGTGGGCTTAGCAGGGGAAGACCAGCCATCTGTGTGAGCCATGCCCAGGCTTGGTCTGCGTCTGGGGTTCCCAGAAAAAAGTCTCACTTGAGGACAATGAACAATCAACCCCTCCAATCCAGAGGCCATGCCTACCTCCAATGCCAGCCCAGCCCTAGCAGGACTCTGCCCACCCGATTTCCTGGCCCTGGCTGCTCCCCCTTCACCCTCCTACCTTGGGCCCCCGGTGCCGGGGCCGCTTGGCACAGTTCCCCATAGGCTCCTGAACCATGCCAGGCCTGGATTCCTGGTGCAGTGGATGCTGCCTGGCCCCAGCAGCTCCCAGTGAGAGCCTGGGAGCACTGCTGGGGATTTTCCTAGGGTTTTGTGGGGAAGATTGGGGGCGGGTGGTCAGGCGGGGGGCCCTGGGCCCAGTGTGGAATGGGTCCTAATCAGGGATTATCTCTGAGCATCTCCGCTGTTAAGGGGGGCCACTTGGGGCCCAAGGCCCCATGGAAGGCGGTCTCCCCATGCTTTCTTCTGAGGGTCTCCTCTGCTGTACCCTTCTCCCCTCAAACCTACTCCTAATCTCTCAATCAAGGGAGATTTTGTTTCTTCAGAAGCAGGCCAGGGCCTAGAAGGAGGAGGCAAGAACTTGGGGGTGGGAGTGGGAGGGCTAGGCCTCTTGCCCTATGGAACAGTAGTGAGTCTGGTGGTGATGAGCTTAGCAGACCCTTCCCCTTAGCCTTTCTACGAGTGGAGACCCCTTTCAGGATCCCGGATCCCTTCCTAGAATGCACCCAACCTGCTTGCCTTGGCACCCTGGCCTGGATCAGCCTGCTACCCTTGCACCAGGAGCTGAAGGTGGCTGCCTATAGGGTGCTATAGATGACAGCTCAGTAAGCACCAAGGTAAGAAGGGGCTCAACCTGGCCTCTGCTGACCCACAGACTAACCCCTTGAACCATGCGTGTTCCCTGTGTCCCCTCATGCACATGGCCCTCATCTGTCCTACAGGGGACCCTGAGATGCCCTTATGGCCACCTCCATCCCCCTTACCTGCCCATAAGCTGCTTGCACCTGAGCTTCGAGCTCCTGGAGAAGTGCCCGCCGGCTGGCTGCTGGGCTGGTGGGGGTCTGGCTGGGACCTGGAGCCCCTGTAGAGGGGCTGGGGTCCCCAGGGGGGATGCTGCTGTCTGCTGGGCCCTGTGGCAGGGCCATGGACACAAGGGCTTGGTACCTCCTTCTGGTTTGCTTTGTCTTGTCCTGTGGGCAGGTGGCTCAGTGGGCAGCAGTGGCTGTGGCTCTCCAGGGTCCTTCCTCGGTGGCCTACCAGAGCACTGAGTCCCTGAAATGTCCTATTTGCCCCACTGTCCCTCACAGGCCTGTTAGCTTGCATAGCCTCCCTGAAATTTCCCTTTTCTCCCCTGATGTGCCCCTTCAGCTCTGACCTCGGGGCACCTGCTGGCTGTCACCTCCTCCTCCCCATGTCTAGCCTCATCTCTCTGGCTGAGTCCCTAGACTGACCTCCCCAAAACATGGCTGACTCACATTCTCTCATCCCTCCCATTATCTCTGCCTCAGTCGTGCAGTGTCTCTGTACCACTTTCTCACCTTAGTCTGTTTTTACAACTTTGCTCTTTCTTCCCTCCCCACATTCTCCCTCACAGGATAACCCCAAGATTCTGGAAAGGCAGGTCACCTCCTTCCTGCCCCTACCCAGAACCCTCTGTTCTCCCCACCTCCCTGCCTCCTGCCAGTGACCCACACCTGGGCCTGCCGACCTGCAACCTCTTGCTTCCTCAGGGTGGAGGTGGCTGGGCAGCTCCTGCTGGCCTCCTGTGTCCCCTTGTCATGCCCCCAGCCCACTCACCACCCAGCCGCCTCTCCTCGACTTCCAGAATGAGGTCAGTTGTCCTGCCTGGCCCTGCTCAGGGCCTCTCATGATTTATTCACTTGCCCCCTGCACTGGCCTTTGTCCCAGGGAACCAGATCCCACCAGATGTCTGCCACCTGAGCTGGTGGCTCTGCTCCTCTTGGCCTCTTGTGGCCACCCATTCATGTATTCCCTGAGCCAACATCTGAAGTGTGCAGGGAACCAGCACTGGGGCCACATGACAGACCCTGCCTCCCAAAGGACCTGTTCTCAGGCACATCTAATTCAGAAAAGGCCACTAGGCAGTCTCAGTGTACTTAGCAGGCACAAACCCAGGCACTGAGGAGGTATGGTGGAGGGGGTGTGGAGAAGGGGCAACACTAGGCTAGTGGTGGCAAACTTTTTAGAGCTTTCAGTAACAGCTCACTGTAGCATTCATGCCATAGGTTCGCCACCACCGCTAGGCATTGCCCACCCATGTTTAACCTGAGTCTCATGCTGGTGAGAGCTGAGGTTCAGGACAGAGATCAGTTTTAAACTTGAGTGCGTCAGGTGCAGTGCTTGGTGGGTAAAAGCCCTCAACAGGGAGGAACTGGTAGCCTCTGTGGAGAGTATGAATGGCGAGAGGCCAGAGATTATTTCAGAGGGGCTAAATCTTTAGCCAAAATTTGTCAAGCCCTGCTCTGTGCCCTCCCAGCTGCTGAGAGCCAGTCCCAGCTTCTGGAACCCTCCATTTGGTAGGAACAGCAGTCAGCAAAGCAGAATTATAGTAGATGAGGAAGTGAGGAAATGGTCCTCAGGCTGTCTACAGGAGACCTTACTGTGACTGGGTCTGAGAGTGTGACTGGAGTGGCTGAGGAAAGTGACAGGGTTGGTTCTGCAAGGAGAAGGAACAGCCTTCATGGAGCCTGGAGGCAGGGTTGAGATCTGAGGACAAGCTGGGACAAAGATGAGAACGGATGCTGGCCAGGAGGTCAAGGGTGGGACTAGCTCATTTTGATCATTCACCATGACTTAGCACATTCAGTTTCCTTTAGCTTTGTACCTGGAGACCAGGCCTGCACCAGTGTCCTATGCAGCAGCAACCCTAAAACATTCTTCACAGACAAAGTTCACCCGTTTTCTTTCTTCTTTTTTTGAGACAGGGTCTCACTGTGTAGTTCAGGCTGGCCTTGAATTCACTGGGTAGCTTAGGCTGGCCTTGAACTTGTGGAATCCTCCTGCCTTAGCCTTCCAAGTGCTGGGATTATAGGCATGTGTCACCATGCTCGGCTAGTTCTCCTGTTTTCTACAAGTGATCTTTCTTTTTGTAGAAAGATCCTGCAGGGCTGGGTTTCCCAGGCACTCTCTGTGTGACCAAAGTAATGAATTTTATCTCTCTGAGCCTCAGTTGTTTTATCTGGAAAATGGGGGTTGACCTAATATCTGCCTCTAGGAAGGTAAGCAATGTGTGTTCCAAAGTACAATCTGAAGCAGTTGGTATTATAACTGGTTAGAGGACAGTGAGTAAGAGTTCTCAATGGTAGGGGGGATTGGGGGAAGCTCTGTGTCTATTGGAGGAGAAAGCATGGCTTGGAAATCCCTCTTGTCTTATGTACAATGAGCAGAGTACCAGAGCATTCATCGCAATGACCTCAAGTTGCACAGCCTGATTTAACTAAACTGGTTCCTAGCTCTAGTGTTTAGGACAGGTAGACCAATGGTTTGATGATTGGTAGATAGATGGATGGATGATGGATGAATGGTTGGATGGATGGACAGATGGATGGAAGGACAACTTGCTGGACAGGTGGTTGGATGGATAGGAAGGTAGAGGGGAAATTGGATGGCTGGATAGCTGTCTGATAGGCTAAACGGTTGGTAAATGGATGGATGTGTAATTTCAGAGATACATGGTTGGTTGGGTGAATAGATGGATGTGTGAAAATATGGCTGGTGGAAGATGACCCAATGGGTTAAGAGGTACATAGACGTTTTGATTGATTAGTGTTTCAGTGTTGGGTGGAAGAATAAATGGGTTGACAGACAAATAGTAGGGCAGAAGTGGATAGATGGCTAGGTGGATTATTGTATGTGGTCTTATATTCTTCAATAAGAGACTCTTTGGTAGAGCTATATCTTACCTTTTCAATGTCTCGGAACATGACTATTAATTCATTGCCTGACACTAACTGAAGTCCGAACTGCAATTCATTTGATAACAAAAATGGTGGCTTGTTCTCTACCTTGTTCCCCACAAAACAAACCCTAAGCTTGGTACCTGGTAAGCACCATACAGAATCATGTTGAGACAGATTTCATATCCACCAGAGTAGCAAAGAAAAAGATGGACAATAACATCTTGGTGGTGATGGGGAGAAATTAAAACTGTCCTATGTCAATGGTGGGGTTCTCAAATGATGTGGCTGCTGTGGGTGTGGCACGAAAGTAAGGGGCCACATGACCCAACAAGTTCTCTTCTAGGTTAGGACTCAAGGAAAAAGATCAGTCCACAGCAAAACTTTTACATAAATATCCCTGGAAGCATTATACTTGGTGTTTGTTTGTTTGTTTGTTTGTTTGTTTGTTTTCCTGGTACCAGGGATTGAACTCAGGACCTTGTACTTGCCAGGCAAGCTCTTATTCTACTGAGCTATCTCCCCGGCCCCTATATACTTAGTTGCCAGAGTGAAACAACCCAAGTATCCATTGAAGAATGCATGAGCAAAAATGCTATCTCTGCACAAAGGAATATTTTTCAGCCATGAAAAGAAACAAAGTACTGACATATGCCACTACCTGAATGAACCCTAAAAATGTGACAATGGAAAGATGCCAGACACTAAAGAACAAATACTCTCTTTTGGGTCCTCCTTTCTAAGATGACGAAAAAAAGAAGGAACAACGGTCGTGCCAAAAAGGGCCGCGGTCACGGGCAGCCTATTCGCTGCACGAACTGCGCCCAGTGAGTACCCAAGGATAAGGCCATTAAGAAGTTTGTCATTCGGAACATAGTGGAGGCCGCCGCCATCAGGGACATTTCCGAAGCGAGTGTCTTCGATGGTTATGTGCTTCCCAAGCTGTATGTGAAGCTGCATTATTGTGTGAGTTGTGCCATTCACAGCAAAGTGGTCAGAAATCGATCTCGTGAAGCCCGTAAGGACCGAACTCCTCCACCCCGATTTAGACCTGCTGGTGCTGCCCCACGACCTCCACCAAAGCCCATGTAAGGGGAGCTGGGGCTTAATGGACTGAAGAAAACTCTTGAGAAAGAAATAATAAGTTGAATGTTATACTTTAAAAAAAAGAATAAAGACTGCATGATTCCATTCATATGACACGTCCACAGTAGGCAAATCCATGGAGACAGAAAGGAGATTAGTGGTTGCCAGAGAATGGGGGAAGGGTAGGTGCTAAGAGGAATGGGGCTACTTTTTTTTTTTTTCTTTCATTTTATGTATTTGGTACAGGGTCTCACTATGCAGCTTGGTCTCGTCGTGACCCTCCTGTTTTCAGCCTCCCCAGCACTGGGATTACAGGTGCGCGCCACCACACCTGGACTTGGCCGAGGGCTCAGTGCGCTGGCACAGCACGTGGGGTCAGGGATTGAACCCTGGTCCCTGTGCTTGCCGAAGCAGGCATTTAGTCTGCTGAGCTATCTCGCTGGAATGGGGCTACTTTTTAGGCACGACGAAAATGTTCTAGAATTAGTCAGTGGTGACAACTGCATAACACTGAAGATACTAAAATCCACAGAATGTACAGTGTGCACAAAGGTGAATTTTACATGATAACAAGGTTGCTTATATATGTATTTAAAACTCACCAAAGACAGGTGCTCACACACACACACACACACACACACACACACACACACACACACACAGAAGCTGGATTTGGGAATAGACAGAGTGAGGTTCTTGGCTTGCCTGCCTGAGGTAACAATGTCTCAAAGACCCAGAGGAGAAGGAGAAAGGCTCCAGGACTGTGGTAAAGGCAGCTCCTTAAAACACAGTAGCAGAGTGCCCCACCTTTGTGTTACTGTAACAAGCACCTGAAATAAATGAGCCTAGAAAAGGCAAAGAGTGAGTTGGGCTCATGGATTCAGTCCATGGTCGCTTGGCCCTGGAGCCTCTGAGCTTGAGGTGAGCAGAGCACTGTGGCAGGAGCACACGGTGGAGGAGACTGCTCCCCTCGTGGCAGCAGGCCCGGCGAACAACCAGAGAGGGAGAGGCTGTTGTCTCCACACAGCCCCGTCAAGGACATGCTCGCTTGCAGTGGCTAACTTCCTCCCGCCAGACTCTCCCTCCTAAAGGTCCCAGTGGCATCACTGGCTGCTGGAGGACACTTATCCAAACAGCGGCACCTGCTTCTCAGACCCATGAGACTTCGGCACAAAGACAGGGCATGTGTGCTCTGGCCTAGAGCAGCTGAGGGGACCTCTCTGAGCCTTGGTGTCCTTTCCTGCATAATGGGAGCAAGACTGCCTCCCTCCCAGGCTTGGGGTGTGGGAGATGAAATGAGATCATTTATGTGAAAGCTCTTTGTAAGCAGCTCCACGCCGGGCAGATGTTCCTCCAGCTGTGAGTCAGGGATGAGAGCCCAGCTCTGGCACCATCTCCTCCACCCCCTCCCAGCCCCAGGGAGCCCTGAGCTCAAATGCAAGGAGGGGATGGAAAACACTCCCCAAAGCTGAGCCCTGGCTGCTGTGTGTGCTCCTGATTACAGTGGCATCCTGAGTCCCCAGATTTGGGGCATCAGGGCATCTCCTCTTTCTTGTGACTCTGCTTAGATACCCTTTAGGAGCACCCAGGAAGACAATCAGGAGAACTGAGCTGGGAATCCCTGGGGTTCTGGGGGACCCTAGCACTGTGGCCTGAGCATCTTTCTATTCACCTGCATCCCACGTCCAGCCTGTATGTGGAGCTGCAGACCCTCAGACTCAGGGAAGACATGGTTTGCAGGATACACAGGGGAAGGAAGCTTT